ATATTTCATATTTTATTTCAAAATAAAATTTTATTTTACAATTCATCATCATTTTCCAATTCATCTAATTCATCAGCTGAATCACTATCTATATCTATAACTTCTCTTTCATTTTCATCAATTTCCTTCTTTTTTTCATCTTGCCTAAACAAATCTTCTTCTGATCCATCTATTGCGTTACTAATACCACATTTTTTAAATGACTTTACAATCATTTCCTTTGGAATTTCCGCCCATGCCTCAAGTATCCATATGCAAATAATATTATATTCAGGTTTTCTTAAATTCCCACCTTTAGTATAAGAAAATTGACCTGAACTCATCCAAATGTTTCACTTTCATGAAGTCTATCTTTAAATGGCTTATTAAGACAAACATCAAGTGGCTGAATAATAGAAGTGACCACTAGAAATAATTGCCAAATTAGTATTTTCATCGAATGCAATTTTTTTTATAGCATCTGTCTTATGACCTTCAAAACTATCCATAACAAGAAGGGATCTTTGTTTATTGATTCTATTTCCTCCTAGTCTTTTTCTCCAAACCTTATCAAACCAGGTTTTCATTCCAGATTCATTCATCCATCATTTTGGATGCATCAATACAATAATTCCAGAAGGTAAATTCTTTGGCATTTGCTTATCTTTAAAAATGACAATTAGTGGTAATTTTGTACCATCTGCAAGAACTGTAAGAACACATGTAAACTGATTTTTTTCATTCCCAGTTGTTCGAATTTGCACAGTTTTAGCATCATGATTTTCTATAGTTAAGTTTCCAACCATATCAAAATAAACAGGAGTTTCATCCATATTTTCAATTTCACAAAGTTCATATTCAAATTGTTTTCGTTTTTAATAATAAACTGCTGAAACTCCAAAAGTTTGTCATTAAGGTGAGCAGAAAGTTTTTGGTCGATTTTTGTTTTACGTCGCAGAAAAAATCCATTCCTTTTAAGAAAACCATAAAACCAACGTTCTGAAGCAAGAAAATTTTCACTATTTGAATAAACATGAGCAAACTCTTTTATTAAAATTTCTTTCATATAAATTTCAACCATTTTAGAAATCACTGCAATACCATCTTTTCAAAATTCTATAAGCCATGTTTTAAACTAGTTTCAGCTTCGGGATATTATGCTTTTCTTCCTGCGCCAATATGTCGATTTTTCCTTTTGCTGATTTGAGTTTATCTCCCTGTTTTTTCTAACGTGAAATCATTGAATAATCAATAGAAAAATGACGTGCAGCTGCTCTTTGACCATGATTTTTTGCATATTGCAAATCTCAAGCTTTTTCACTAGCAGAATATGATGACCTTTGAATTTTTGGCATTGTGTGTGAAAAAAATGTATGTAAAATAGGGTAAATTGAATTTATATAAATTTATGTAGTACAAAATTTTTTCGAAGCATAAAAAAAATTAAAAAAATTTCTGAATTTAAGCATCATCCCAAACTTTAGTGAAAGTTTTCCTCAAAAAAGTGGTGCTTAAAATCAGAAGGATACGGTATATTTGAATAACTTTTGAGTAAAATTGTTTGTTTAAACTTATTTTGAATTTGATAACACGTCTAAATGTTAGTTTTATTAATTTTTTATTAAGATTTTGATATAATTTTACATTTTTATAAGCTTTGATATAGTTTTACCTTTTTTAGAATTTTGCAGATTTTTTAATAAAGTTTTAATATAATTTCACTAAATTTTACCTTTTTCTATTTAGATAACTTACAAAACCTCTAGTTTCTCTAGCAATCTTACTTTTAAGCTTACTTTAAATTTACTTAAAAGTGATACACTTTAAATTAACTTGTTTATCTCAAATCATTATATGGTTTCTGTCATCATACTAAATTTTTAAGAATCGACTATATGTTTTTTGAAGACTTTCTTTAATTATGGCTGAATAGATGATAAGAAATGGGTTAAATTTAATAATGTGATTAATATAATTTGTTCTTAACAGATCCTTAAAATTATTATAAAGGAAAAGCTTCACATATAAGAAGTATAATAGCAACATTGCAGATTTTTTTTAAATTTATTATAATAATTGTATTCATTATTTATTTTATAGACAATGAGAGGGATAATCCAAATCTTTATGCAGAGAAATGGGATGAATCGGAAATTCTTAACAGTATATAATTATATGATGTAAATAATTTGTTTACAACTACTTTACAGAATTTATTTTTTTGATAGATTTTAACAGCTTTATTATCAAATAAGAAAATTTTTCATATCGTTTTTTATATTATTTATTGTATAATTTTATTTACAATGTAAAGTTTAGATGTTCCTTTTTAATATAATTAATAAAGAACAGGAAATAACTTATTTTTAAACATTTAAATCTAGAACACATTAAAGTGTTTAAGTTCATATATAAATCTAGGAAAGGAGTCCCAATTGTTTGTTCTCTGGTAAATCAGTTATTTCGCTACAAATATCTAATGATTAGAAAACCACTTTGAAGCTCAGCATATATATTTAGTTGCAATTTTGGTATTTATGAGTATTAAATATTTATTAGTTCAAACTTTTAATAACTTTAAACAAAATTCTTACAATTGCTAGTGATTTGATTAGCAATTGAGTGATTATATCAAGTGTTTTTTTCTCTTCTCATACAAAGTCATTTAAAATTTTTTATAACGTGCGTGTCAAGGTTATATTAATATAATAAGATATGATTAAATTAAAATTAAATGCGGAAAAGTCTAGTTCAAATTATTATTTCTTCATTATCATAAATAAAGTCATGATAAAATTGCTTTTGACAATGATATAAATAGGTAAATTCATTATTATTCATTTGAATACGAATAAAATTTATAATACAATAATTATATTATTTGATGACGTGTATAAAGAAATCGGATTACTTTTCTTGATTGAAATATCAGCAATTATTCCATTGAATTATATTTGGCCGGCGGAAAGCGAGGTTTAATACTCCAATTTATTTATTTAGAGGATCAGAACCTTTATAGATACAAGGACAAGTTTATTCCACCCTTCATCTGAAAATTTTGCATATCTTTTTTTAAGTTCTTTCAGAAGTAGAAAGAGGATTGAAAAAACAAAATGAAAAAATTTTTTTTGAAAGAATAGTAATAAAATAATCAAAAACTTAGATTCGAATTTATTTATTTCAAACGAAGATTCGAATGTTCTGTTTTCAAACCTACTTAATTAGAAATTAAAGAGGGGCAATAAAAAGAACAAATGAACCAAAAGTTTAAATTGCTCCACGATCATTCAAAAAAAGGCACCACATCCCCTTAAATATGCAATTATAAACTTTTTAAAACAAATTTTATATAATAAAAGTAAGATAAAAACATTTTTTTATTTTATTTATTAAAAAGGTTTGTATAACGATTCAAAATAGCGAGTTATTTCAAAAATTTATTGGTCTATATGATAGCCTATTTTGAATCTTGACTAAAAACTAAGTTGTACTGCGCCATGTATATGTAAAATAAAGTAAGAAAATAAAAATGATGGATTTTTTTTAAATATATCACGATATTCTAATACTACGGCAGAATTGATGTGGTTAAAAAATAATTTATTCCGAACAATTATAACTATTTAGATGGTATATAAGCGATTTTCATATTCTTTAAATTCCTCTTTAACTATCATAAAGGTAATAAAACACCAAAAGAACGGTATTCCATTTATTTATATGTGGCATACATTATACCATTATTATATAAAGGCATGAAGAAATTGAAAATACGATGTCAAATGATATACTGTAATTGTTTATTTCTTTCCCTAATTGTAAATGTATACCTTAAAGAATTCTTAACACAACTAGGTAAGCGTTTAACATAAAAGCACGCATAAACAATCTTCATTTAATAATAAATTATTTTATAGAGGAACTTTCTCCAAAAATTACTATTCATCCCGAAGGAGCCTTAAAAGAATATTTTGGAGATGGTATAATATTTTCCAATGGAGATGTACCAGTTCATCGCAAAAATCTCAAAATACTTATTACTTTTAAAATTTGACTTGGACTATCTCACAATTTGAACGCACGGTCTAGGGCAATCTGCATATCATCCAGTTGAGCGGAGTATGGCGTCGCTTTCCAGAAAGTTGGCGCGCATTGAGCTAGATGCTTTTACGTATGGCAAACATCTTGGTATGTATAAAGTAAACAATGCTCAATAAATTTATAGTGATTGGAATTTCTAAATTAATCTCATACAACAAAATTCAAATAGTGCTGTGAAGAGTTGCTTTTGGATATCATTTTGGCACAACTATTGACTTAATATCATCTTTACATGGTGGTATATTAGGGGAATCGATTTATCATATCTTATTGAAAAAGGAAAAGTTCTAATAATGAAATTTTTTAATAATGGATGGAGATTTGCAGTCAAGAGGGAATTGATACTGATTTAAGCAATTAAGGGATAAAATGGTTATATTCGTCGAAGGCCATGACAGTAAGTATACTTTTATTTATTTATTTTATTCTTAAATGGTTTTAAATGTAAATAGTAATGATGATTATAAATAAAAACAGCACATTATTTTTATTCTTGAATCTTTTTACAAATAAATTTTAAGTCGCTATAAGAAGAAATGATTAGTGTACTTGGAAATACCTACTTCAGAACAATTAAAGGTAACTAGTTCAGTATTTTCACATTTTGCAAAAATCATTTAACTGAAGCAACAATTGTTTTTAAGGAAATGATATATCAACGCAATTATTAAAGATGCTTAAGACTTTATTTACCATCTCTAGTAATAACGCCTCGAAAATTAGCAAAGCAATAAGTCGATCCTTATAGACTTGAAAGATTTTTAAATTGGTTCTCATTTTATGTTGGACTCAGTATTAGGTATTATGAACAAGGTTGTTTAACTACAAATATCCATCAATTGACCTCTTTTAATACCGTTATATTTTTTAAAAAAAAAAAAAAAATTTTTTGGTTAAGAAAGGGAGAGAATTTATATACTTATAATATTTCAAAAGAATATTAAGTGCTTATTGATATATGGGCGCTTTAAAATATTATGATTTTTGAGCATGAATTCAAAAAAAAATTTTTTTTTTGTAATTTCCTCTTATAATATTGTGAACCAGTCAAGTTAAAAAGTAAGTCTGCACCACGGTTAAGACGTTTGTGACGTTTGTGACGAAATAGGTCTGGTTTCTTCTATCATGTATAAAGAGATTATTTTTAAGTTCTGGTCCCATTGTAAGTATAAGGTAGCAAACATTTAATCACGATCTTTAATTTATGATAACCGTAATGACAATGGACATCAAATTAAGAATCATTTGAATTGAAACGAAAAATTCTTTTTATTGATAGGAATTAATACAACAGTGACATCAATTAAAATTTTAACGATAACTTTCAATTAGTGAAAAAAAAAATTTGACCCGCTTATTCTATCCGATTATCTATTAAAAGCATGATCAAGGTACTCTATAACGATTTTTCCGTTATCTGACACTTTGCTAACGCGAAAACTCATTCCAATATCTGTTTTTTCAATTTGTCTTCTTGTCCTATATTACAAAGTGGTGTCAGATTTATCGTCATAATATGTTTTCTAGTATCTTTAATTTGTTAAATTTGTTACTTACCAATCCGGCAAGGCCCTTTCACATTCAGAAAGTTGTCTCCCATTACGAAAAGTGAATACTGTACTCCAACCATTTACGTTTACCCCATTCCACTGTGGATCTGTGATATGAGAGATGAGGTATTCCTTGAAATGATCCACACACCTTATTAGCTTAAATTTCGTACGAATAGGTAAGATGTAAAAAAAATAAATAAAATAAGGTACCATTGTCTGATTCGGTCCATCACGCGGAAATGGACGATTCCATTGAATTAACCAGGCTTGTTCATTAACTTGCATCTTGTTGTCAATAATTTCAAGGAGTATCCTTGCATTTGTTCTCAAATAATATGGGATGAAGGCGGGATCTAAACGAAAGGGAGGGAGTATAAAGACAAGAGAGGTTGTTATATGTGAACGAATTTTAACCTTTCGTTTGTTTGCATATCATACTCACCTAAATCGCATCTCTTTGAAAGCTCATTTATGTCATCTGACAATACGAGGACGTGAATATGATCCTTGGCAAGCTGCTTGGGGAATAGCGTTTGAATTTCTCCCAACGGAGGCAACAACTCGCCTCCGATATCCTCAATATTGATGGTTGCGTCGGCGGAAAGTTTATGAATGCTTTGATCATCACCAGTTGGGATGTTGACCTTCCAGAGGATAAGTTTATTTACATCGATAGTGCTGAACAATAGCTGTTTTTTCTCTTTGATGACATTCTTGAGTTCAACAATGTCTTTGTCCTTTCTGATATTGATTTTGAAGGTTTCTGAGTCACCAGGAACAAAGCAAGTAATGAAAGGCATAATGACGAATCCTTTGTTGCCGAAATTTTTTTTTTTGTTGCGTTTTAAAGCTTGGGGTTACTTTTCTTTTTCTTTTACGTTTTTTTTTACGAAACAAGATTGGTTAATTGAATAAAAATCTCAAGATCGACGTATTAAACTAGGTTAGGTTGACGTAACGAAATCACATGAATACAATGGGCCAATGAAAATCCATTGACCCGCAATTTTAAAATATTCTCGAACAAAAATTTATGAAAACTACGGATTAGAAAATTCTAGACGCTACACAAACTACAGAAATTGGTAACAGTAGTGATTAAACTACCTTTGCTTCGACTTCGCCCACGTCCTATAGCAAAGGTATCAATTATTTGGTCCAAGAATAAAGAATTACTAATATAATAATAATGATTACTCTATCGGGTTTCTTCTTTCGTTTTTGAATTAAAATAAACCCACAATGATTTTAATTGATTCTTTTTTTTTAAAAAAAAAATTTTTTTTTTTTTTTTTTTTTGGACTTTTTGGACTCGATAAAAAGAAGAAAATTTGGTTGTGTATTTAAAACAATTTGTTTTAATAAATTTTGGACCGATAAAAATGTTTACAACCCATTTTTTTATTGTCTAATTTAAGTATTGCATCAGCTGCTGATTAAATTTAATATGTACAAAAAAAGTGAGATTCGTCTATCAAAAAGGAAACTTAACGCGTATCGTAAAGAATTTATTAAATTATTTTTACTACATTTTAACTAATGTAATTTATATAATTTATATTTTAAATTTTTTTTTTTTCTATAAATACAAAAAAAAACATTTATTTACATGTCACATCCATTAATTATATTAATTACCAAATTTCCCATCATCCTAAAATTTGTTGTCACTCCCTTCTCCCTTAATCGTCTCATTATCATTATCGTTATCGTTATCACCATCATTATCGTCATCCTCATTATTCGCATATAATCCAATAAAATCATCAACATTATTACTATTACTGGTAGCGTTCGTGGTAACCGTATTAACAGTATTACTTGTATATCTTTTGCTGGTGCTACCGTTACTATCTTCATCTCCAATACTTCTTAATCTCTCCATCATACTGCTTCTTTTACTAGCTTCACTACTTTCGGTATAAAAAGTATTACTCGTATCTCTTTTGCTGGTACTGGAAATGCTGCTATCATCATTGCCTATTCGTCTTATTCTCTCCATGAAACTGCTTCGTTTGCTAGCGCCACTGCCGTCATCACTACCTAATTTTTTAATTTTATCAATTAAACTAGTGGGTCTATTAATCGTAATCGTAGGAGTTATAACACGAGTATTTGGAGGGGTAACATTTTTATTTGAGGCGGGTATGGATCGAGGGGTAGGGGATGATCTTGAAGGGTTATGATTCAGATGAAGAGGAGGGGGGTAATCATTTCCTTGGTATTGTAACGGAGATGGAGTTTCGGGACGTGATGTTTGATTATCATATTCTTGATAAGGAAATGGAGGGTCTTGATATTGATAAACAACTTGTTGAGGTATGTAACCATATTGTGGTATTACACCGGGTAATACAACATTCTGTACAATCTGCGGTTGAATAGGTGAATTTAAATATTGTTGTGGTTGGTTTGGGGGTAATAATGGAGATGGTGGGGTATAATTCGGATAACTTTCAGCATAAGATTGATAATACTGCTGACCACCTCCAAAATGAGCTTGTGGGTAATAACCGTTTTCCCATCTATTTCCGCCGATGGATGAACTAGCTTGACTAAAATGACCGGAATTGGTGGGTGTATACTGAACCGATGAACTGTAAGGCGAAGTAGGTGTACTAGGTGAATGAGGTGATCGAGTTAGTGAACGTGGTGTACTTGGTGAATTAGGCAAATTAATTGAAATCTGTCTTGCAGTTTGGACCGTGAAATGTTCAGTACCGGGAGTAACGATGTGACTATCTATACCCTTGTTCGTTATAAATCTCTTCCTCCTTTTCTGTCGAAGGTAACAAGTGACAGTCGAGATGAGTATGATCAAACCTACACCCGCAGTCGATAATCCAATTATGATTGACGTTTGAGTTTTGGTGAGCGTTTTTGGATCCACATCCGACGCCTTTACCTCAAACGTATCCACCCACGTGAAATTTCTCGTATCCATCAAATATATTTTCGACGAGGTGTTCAACGGGCTTGTCACCGGATTGCTTATGTTACCAAATGATACAAACATGTAATCCTCAAAAATACTTGATGTAAAGTATACAAGGGGTGGTGGACGATTCCTCGCCGTGATTTGTGGTACGGACCAACGATATTGTCCATCCCTTGTTTCTAACACGGCCAATTCAGGCGTGGATGGGGTCCAGTAATCCTTCACACCTCCATAGATTATGATGTTTTCATCTCGTGTCAATACCGCTTGATGAGCTCTCCTTTCATCAATTACATCCCCTTGAGCTTCCGTAGACGACCAAGTGGCGGTATTAGTATCAAACAAATTCAAAACTTTCATGCTAACGTAAACGAATAAACCTGTATCCGAAGTGGATTGCTCCCAACCTCCGATTAAAACTATTAAACCATTACTTAAAATTGTTGACGTGTAATCACTACGTGGGAATGGTAAGGCCGGATCGGTTAAAGAGATGTTCAATGACCATTCCGAATTGAACGTGTCAAATGAATTCATATCTTGCAACAAGGTTGTCCCAAAACTTCCCGTCTTTTCATCAATCACCCCACCAAATGAATAGGCTTTACCATTCACGTCAACAGAAACTTGGGACTGCCTTCTCTGTATCGGTCCCACCCCTTTAACGATCGGTTCAAACCATGCTTTTGTTTCCGTGTTGAATGAATAAAGTTTATCATCGAGATTTAATGAATTATCCAATGGATTCGTTCTAAACCCTCCAAAGAGAAACACGTTATCATTTGACATGCCACCTACGAATGATTGTGTGAATGATACCCCGACCGGCATTGAAGTGACATCCACCCACGATAAGTTACTTAGGCTAAATGATTTTGATAAATCCAAGTAAAATGTTTGTGTCGATATATAGGATCCATCCCCTAAACCTCCAAAGAAATATAATTTATTTCCGACTAATGAACTTGAATGCGCATATCTTGCCTCCGGTGTAAATGATCTAACCGATACTATTACCAAGCATAACATCAAACAAAGGTATAATGACATCATAAAATACAAAAACGAATAATAATCCTGAGCATTTAAATAATACGTATCAAAGATTTTTTATTATTTAATTTTTTTTTTTTTTTTTTTTTTTTTTTTGAATTTTTATGTCAAATAAAATTTCAAATGTGAAAAAAGAAAAAAAAAAAAAAAATTTAAAGGGGAAAGGTGATTTTTTTATTTGAGCTTAGTAAATTTTCCTAAAACAAATAATCAATCTATTGAAAAAGATTTTTATCATATAAATAATGAACCGAAGAGAAGAAACCGATGCATCATGCAGTTTCAGTAATGATCGAACTTTCTTTTTATGTTAGAGATTATCCTTTATATCTGAAACAAAAAATCAAACCTGAAACATTATTGAGGATCGACATCTTGATATTGTCAGAGAAAAAAAAAATAATTCAGTGGACGTTTCGGCGACAAATCCGGAGTTTAGAGACGAGATGATCAGTCATATCAATCCCAAAATAAGGAGTGAATTATAATTGTGAACTTTGGGTTCGATTGGTCATAATTTCAGTCTAATGTATTTTGGGATTATTAACAGACCAATCAGGATTAAATTGGAGATATTTTCATGATTGTTTTTCTCACGTTAAATTTTACTATGATCAGACCAGACCATATATGACGCATTTCTTGAATCTCCTGTTATCGTGTGTAGACGCCAAACCTATAAATTTAGTAATATGATATTTTGTAAGAGAATTAAGTATCCCTCTACAGATTTGAAGATTTGAGATATGAAGATATGACTCAAAGAAATTATTAAAAATTATTAAATTAGAAAAATATAACCTCATAGAGTAATATGGTCCTGCAAATTTCTATAAAGGTTAATGTCAAAAAAATTTTTATTAATTCATACCCTTAAAATCCGATCGCCTTTATTTAGATTGTCTGTGATCCCAAATGATGCAATTGAGGCGCAGCTGTTTGATTAAATAATTAACCTTAGATCGATTATTGAAATAATTACTTTATAATGTTATCCATCCGGATAATAATCCGAGAATTTGCACATGTTAAACAGAATCTTTTGAAAGCAAAATTTCCGTAATAATAGTAGCATCTTTAAATATACCTCTTCTTGAGTCAACCCGAAGATCAACCTTTTTGCATTTCATGTTGGCTTCTTATTGCATCTACTTCTGCATTCATTAGGCATGAAGCCTATTGTTATCGTCAAATAGGTTTATCGCAACTCTGAAAAGTCAAAACTCTTTCATGAATTAGCGCATGCTTACGAGGATGCCTCCAAGAGCATCAGCATATGAAAAATTCGACGGGTTGGCATACTAAAATTGTTATTTGGATGATTAATTAATTCCCTTTGCTACTTGTTCTCTCTTTCTTTGCGTCTGAATTAATCTAATCCGATGATAATTCAATTTCAAAAACGTTTCTAATACTTTATACAAATATTATTCGTGTCATTAAATCAGTGTAAATTGAATGATCAATCATTGCTGTCTTGTTGTGTCTATAGTCACGTGAATGATATGTTGTATGTATTATTTCACACATATGGTTATCCCCATAAAAAAAAAAAAAAATAATAAAAAAATAAAAAATGGCCGTTGAACGGACCAACGAGCACCATAATATTGTTGGATGCAGTGGCGAGAAAAATTAACCAACGTTTCGGTTCTAACTTCAGTAGTTATCAATGTAGTAGAAAATTTACTACCCTCGTTAGGAGTTATAAAGTAAGTTATTAATAGGTGACTTGTCATTCATCACTTGCCAAGGAAATTTACGTTTAACCTTTATGACTAGTTAACGTGTTTGTACTTTGCCAGAAGTAGTAAAGGAAAGAGAAGCAAGAACGGTGAAATGTATTTCAATGAATTTTAAACACAATTTTGGTTAAGACCGGGTAAATTTCCTCCTGAAATATTTTCTTCAAGTAACGATTGAAAAGATCTCCTTCTAGAATTAGTAATTTTAAAACTTCAAAATTTTTTTAACATCCTTATTTTTTACAATTGTGAGATTGATAGAAAAAATACAATTACAGACACAGTAAAACTTTTCAGATCATTTATCATATTTTATTTTGTGATATAAAATTTTTTATCCTGGCTTCAATTTGATATTATAGCAATATTTTGAGTGCGATTTATTTTAAAACTTTTATTTAAGACAAATCCGGCCATATGTTCAAACCAATAAAACCAATAAGCAAGCAAATTATCTAATATATTTTTTAATTAAGCAAATCAAATTATCTTAAAAAAATTCACCCTGCTGACCCAGCAACCCAAATGAATTTTTGTCAGATAATTTATAACAAAAGCGAAAAAAAAATTTTGCTACTCAGACCTGAATCTTTTTTTGCTTTTGCCATGAGAAAAATTAAACTATTTTAAGAGGATAATAAAAAGTAAAAAAAAATAATTTGTTGGCCCAGCATCTTGAATCAATTTATAGTAAATTATATTTTAAAATATAATTTATAAATAAGTTATATTATATTATATTATATTAAAATATAATTTATTTTAATTATAAATAATTTTATTTGATTTTATATTTTATTAAAATTTTAAGTTATTATATTTTAGATTAAATTTAATAAAAATATATATAAATTATATATATCAATTAATTAATAAATTGGTTACTATAGTATATTTATAAATAACTTTATTATTTTAATTAATGTAATAATAATATATTTATATCATTAATTTATAAATTAATTATATAAAATTTGTAATTTTTTTACATTTAAAAGAAATAGATAATCTATTTAATTAATTCAATAATCATAAATTAATCATTAATTGTTAAATAAATATGTATAATATATTTATTTTTAATTTTTAATTAATTGTAAATATTGTAAATTTATATAAGAGGACTTACATATATTACATAATTATCGAAGAGAGGGGAAGGGGTTCTCAAAAATCTCACCTCTAGATTGGCCAATCAGAATAAAGGAAAAGAAAATTACGTGATAACTACATTATTGTTACATAAATATCAGTGGCGTCAAAATTTTTTGCACATCAAAATTTTCATACTGACTTTATTTGTTTGAGGAAAGTAAATTTTATTGTATCAACGAATTTGAACGATTTAAACATTAATCTGGCATATTGTAAATATAATGTGAACTAATGGTTTTTTTTTATTGTCTTGAAATTTTCCCTAGTCTTGCAGGACCAAACATTTTGTAAGGACCTTTTTACTCACCTTCTGATTGTATTTCCTGGTTATGTAAGGCTAATGCTTGTTCAGTCAACACAGGTGCAACTGAAAAATCATCAACAGAATTAGTAAGTGATTTTTTTTGCTTGGCTGGTCGTTCTCATCATTTTAGATGTTGATTTTTTTTATGTAGGATAAGGATAGAAAGTGTCAGAAAATATGTATTACAGACAGGACAGCAGAGACGAGTATAAGTGTCTGAACTAATAGAAGGATAGTGGGCATCATATCCAGGTATTTTAAGCTTATCACAATATTCTAAGATATGAAGCAGATTCAAAAAATATTCATCTTTTCCCTTTGTCACAGGTGGGAGAAACCCATTATTCTCCATGAAAAAAATAGCTACTTCTTTATAACGTTTAGGTGGACAACAAAGAGAATTTCCACATTTTTTAATATCAAGAGAGTATTGATATATTTTGGTATGATTTTTCAGCCATTGTCAGGGTATAGCCGATTCATTGGTATTTTCCTTTTCACATCCAGAAAACATGATACTACCAAATGAAGAACTTTTTTTATCAATATATTGCATTATAACTGGTCTCCCAAAGATAGGATTACATTCCCAAAGAGCACACAAAGTTTCACTAGCATAACGCATATTCTTCATTGTAAGCTTCAAATCAACTACTTTATCTTGAGAATCAAGGTGAGATCCATATTTATCGATTGGTAATATTATACTGGCTAATTTTTGAGAGAACGTTGCCATACTATGCTCAACAAAATTATACGCTGATTGATCAGATGCGTGCGTTCGAATAGAAAAATAATCAAGGTCGAAGGTACGGAATATTCTACAATACTGATAGATATTTTTCATATGGCGGGAGTTTTCATCTGGGCCTCCGTCGACTAAAAGAATTCAAATTAGTTTAATCTGGCTATTGACTTTTAGTATTTCATCAAAACAACTATCTTGTATCAGAGAATTTAGGTCATTCATATGAGAGGTTGAGCTTATGCTAATTTGATATTGCGGGCGTATAAAAATTGAAAGTTAGCCATTACAAAAAGTATCATTTGTGTCATTTGGGTTAATGAGTAAATAGACCGATGGAATAAGCTTTTGCTGCATTCTAATTGGAAAATCATAATCAGGTAGTGTAACTGGTTCTCGATAACTTTGTATAGTTTGAAAAGTTCTTCTGATTGCAGGGATACCAAAAGGAACTTTGATTTTATCGTCCTGAGAAATGATAACAGAATGGGTCAGAAATAAGGTCGTAAATTGTTTTACTCCTTTCACAGAAACAAGACAATAGTATTCATCAGGATGTTCTTTTTTTCATCTCTAGAAACAGAAGCAATTGCAATGTTAGCTGGGTGGTGGTGAGTCTTTGCTGCTATAGAATTTGATCGAGATAGCAGCAGATAATTGATAAGGGTAGTGCGAGAAAGATACTCATTATATTTTGAGTTGAGTTCTTCCTGAAGATGACAGATAGTTCTAACTTTAATAACTTCTTCCTTTATTTTTTTATTCGCAACTCCAAATTTGATACATTTATGTATATGCTTATGTAAATCAGGATATTGAATCAAAAGAG